GGATATTGTTCCATGAGTTATATAATAATAACTTGCAATGCGCCCCAAGTCTGTGACCTGGAAATATCCACTTTTCCTGTCATACTTGACCAAATTATTTCTATCCAAGATGGTTGCAGCTGAATGAATCTGCAGAAATTCAATAAGACAGATCACTATCAGCCACAATGAGATGAAAAACGACTTTGTGAGCATTATTAGCATGCACCATGCGTGAGTAATTTTTTTTTTTTTGGGAGGGGGGGTGTTGGTGAGGACTGGTTATTGAAATCACACAATTTGAATCACAGGAATTCTGTGATTTCCAATAAAGACAGCACTCATGATATCTGGAAAGTATCCAAGCCGTGACTGACCTGGGCCATGCACAGCCCACTTGAGGAAATATTTCTCCTGACTTCTAATTATTTAATCTACCGTCCATAGTAAGCATAGTACACCATTTTTAGCATAGGGAGATCTTCCAGTATCTCATTTTGAAACCCAAAACTTCTAATATCTAATATCAATTTATAGAAAACTTAAGACTTAGCAGAACATGATAGTAGGTCATACGATATCATCGAACATACATGTTAAGCATGCACCATGACTTTGAAATATAATATTAGATTATATTTAGTCCTGGAAAAAATGAATTCAAGCAATTTGAGTGCCCGCAATTTTAAACAATATATCATATTTTATTCTATCAGTTACTGGCATTGCTATTGCACTAAAACAACCCAAAAAATTGCAGACAAATTTGTCTTATCCAAATAATAATGAGCAATGATAAGCAAAGAGTACAGTAGAACTTACCAGATCAGCCCTCCTTTCCTCCAGTGTTATATCTCTTGTGAGAATATCAGGAGCCAAGCCATAGAGTGAAGGATTTCGGATCATTCGTACATACAAATAAGTGTATCCAATCCAATTACATGCTTCTCTAGCATTTTGAACTGTGCCAAGAACAATTTCTGCATTCAACTGATCAGCCAACTTAGAAACAAACTGGCTTTCAATAGGGAGTTGCTGGTTCATGAGGGATAGATAATATTGCAATTCACTGTGGCCAGTGATGATTATTCCCTCTCCATATGAGTCATACTGGGGCCTCCCAGCACGACCCAGCATCTGCATCACATCAAGAGGACTGAGTTCAGTCCAGGCACCCTTTTCTGGATTGTAGATCTGTGTCCCTTTAATAATCACCGAATGGGCAGGGAGATTCACACCCCACGCAAGAGTTGCAGTGGAAACTAGAACTTGTACGTGTCCATCAGCAAAGAGATCCTCAACCAGCTGGCGGTCAGTCCTAGTCATACCAGCATGATGAATTGCAAATCCATATGGAAGAAGATCTTTAAGATCATTGCTCTTCACAAGATCAGTATGAGTATGGAGAATCTCCCGGCTAGCACTATCTTCTTTAAGAAACCTACCAAGCGTATCATTTGCAAGTGCAGTATCCCGGATAGCACGAGCTGTCTTGGCAGTTTCTTTCCTTGAATGGACAAATATGAGAACCTGATGCTTTCCGGCTACAGCCATTACTTTCTCATAGCAGATATCATTCATCAACTGGAATCTCTGAAGAGGCTTCTTTACTGTAATTCCAATGTATTGTTGAGAAAGCGGCACAGGTCTATAACTGTTATCAAAATAGAACAACCCTTTCTTGAGGTCAACACGTAAAAACAAAGCCACATCTTCATAGTTGGGAAGAGTAGCAGACAATCCCACCAGTCGAATATGTTCCTTTGTTGTTTCAATCTGCCTTACAGTTCTAGCAACAATACTTTCAAGAACAGGTCCTCGATTATCATGAAGAAGATGAATTTCATCAATGATGAGAAGTTTTACAAGTTGCGTGTATGTGCGATCACCAGACTTTCGAGTAATTATATCCCACTTCTCAGGGGTTGTGACAATAATTTGGGTTTCTTCTATCTGTTGGCGGGTCAATGTCTGGTCTCCACTGAGCTCTCTAACTTTGACATCATAATCCTGCAAACGATTAGACAAATTTCCAACCACTTCTGCAACAAGGGCTTTCATAGGTGCGACATAGACAATTTTATAATCATTATGGTTAAATGAACCATCAGAATTTCTGTGCAGTGCAATCTGCTGAAGTATAGTGAGAACAGCAACATTAGTCTTCCCAGCCCCTGTTGGAGCGCAGAGAAGAATATTGTCTGGATTAAAGAGGGCAGTCTCATAAACCTTACTCTGCACCCTGTTCAACTGGGTCATTCCTTTAAATGCTGGTTGTGCCCAATCAGGCATGGCAGATATCTTAATAAATTTCTCATTAGAGTCAATTGGCTTAGCCTTCAATGCTGGTACATGAATTTCTTCATATCCCTTGCTGAGATGCCTATAAGACCCGTCTGGAAGGTCACACTTCTTTTTTGCCATAAAAAAACCACCTTGATCAAAAGCAAGGCTATCCAGGTCAAGCAGTTGGCGCTGACCTTTTAACCAGCCACTCTCAGCATCCCTATCAGCAAGCCCCCTCCTCCCTATGTCCCCATCTCCAGTGATCTCATCCTTTAATCGGCGTGCTTCTTCTCTTATACTTTTTTCCAAGTTCTTTTGCCTCTCCTTTGCAGTCGCCCTTGTAGCATGCAACTGCTCCACTATTGAGGCCAACTCAGGACCTAATCCCATCATTTCCTCCTCAATTTTCTTCCTCTCATCTTGGTCTTCTGCCCTCGCCAAACGAGTACACCACACAATCTTCAGCCGGTTGCGCAGTAGTAACTTGACAAGGCTGAATTTGTCAAACTGAAGATGGACTAACAGCTTAGTTTCCACTTCCCTATCATCACCTTCAGCCAGTATCTTAAGCACCTCTTCTGCAAGTTTCTGGCATTGCTGCGGATCAATCTGCTGCTCAAAAGCTTGAGATATTTTTCTTTGAAGCCAATAAGCATCAATGTCCTGAACATTGAGACTCATCCCCTCATTTGCTTCCTGCATATCATCATCATCTATACCACCACCCATTTGCATAGCCCCGGCCCCATTTGGTTCCACAACATCATCATCATCCTCTTCCTCCTCTTGCACCATATCAAGATCACTCTCCTCCTCCTCTTCCTCATTCTCCTCAAACTCAACCGCAACACCCACATCATCATCCAGGGCATCGTCACCATTAGCTGTAGCAGACCCGGGAGCATCACCTCCCTCTTGATAATCGGTGATGAGCCTACCAATGGCTACAAGCTGATCAAATATAGGGTTGGGGATAGGGTTCAGCAGCTTCTCGATCTCCTTCTTCTTATCGGGGTTTTTAATGGTCTCGTTCTTCAGTACACCCAAAATTTCATCAGCAGCACCACTAACTATACTCAGTGGCTGCCCACCCAACTGTTGTTGAATGACACTAAGCATAGCCTCATACGCAGCTCTAGTTTCCTTCGTTTTCGGTTGGTAAACGCCTTCCTCTGTGGAAGTCAGGACACTTTCTTCTTGAAGTCGGCGTCTCTTGCTCTGCAAATTGGGAGGAGGTTCTGCAAGAGGGTCGCGTTCTTTCTTCTTTTTCTTCGCTTTCTCCAACTTCTCGTCTAGTTCCGGCGGCCTGCCCCTATAAGCTCTGTCACCGAAGCTTTTAGGGTCAATCTTGCCCCATAACGATTCGGGCTCCCCAGTGGGTTCATGAGTGTCCCGTGGTCGAGAGTCTGTGGTGAGGACTAGACTCGAGTTCGCCCTATATTCATACTGCTTGAATCGAGCGTGTGCCTCGGCACCACCACCCAGATGCGCCATGTTTTGATATCGAAGAGAAACTTAGAAGACCTTCAAGCCTTTGCTTACCACTGTATCTCGAAGAAAAGAAAACCTAATTCAAAATTCTCACATGAGTTAGATTATAATCGAATCCGCCAGAACGATGAGGAATAAAAAAGAATCCGCCAGAACCCAAAACCCTAAGATAAGCACAAAACGGGATGATAAAAAATTACTATTTACTTACCAATGAATATAAGTAATAAAAATATCGCTGAGGAGAGACCCAACGTTAAAGACCCTCTAAAATGCGCCCAGAGAAGGACGAAGAAATAATGAGCTAGTGGCTAACGCTCGCAACCATATAAGTTTCAAGTTTGCACCGCCTTCCTCCGACTTTACTGTACACTCGCCAGCGTCGACGCCCCTGAACCCTAGAGTCGGTTCGGGGCTTCGGGCACACGTGGGATTGGAAGATTGAAGGAAAAAACATGTATATACGCAATATATGGGATCAGCTTACTCTCACGCTGCTCTGGTAATATTTACATGTAAGTTCCCATATATTTCACGTTAAAAAAAAAAAAAAAAACTTTAAACAGTAGTAATTTTTTAAAAATATAATAATTTTTAAATTTTATTAATATTTAATATATGCATTTTTTAAGAATGATCACCTCTCCTATGATAAATAAAAGACAAAACAATATATTTATATTAAAAATTTGATGAGGTAACTTACAAATAGGAAAAAAATTCTATTTTTATTTTATAAATAAAATCAAAAGAGTGAATGATAATCCTATCATCTTAAGATAAGAAAAAAAATAAATGGTAAATTTTAACTTCATAATCTGATCATTTAAAAAATTCTCTTTTTCTCAAATCAGCACAGTATTTGAGGAAAAAAAAAACCAGACTTTTCAGGACATAGGTGATAATAGAAGAAAAGTTGTGCTAATTTGGTCCTTTCCCATGATTTCCCAGTTTTTATTTTTAAATTTTTAAATACTATAATACATATTTTCGTATTCTACCTAATTACTTTTCCTGACCTATCATGATAAATTTCTAAAGTAATAATCGGAAATTTAAATTTTTCATGCCAAATGTTCTCGAACCTTACTGAGTGTATGAATGGAAAATCGGGAGAATAAAACAGGAGCCATAAATAATCGACCAAATTCTCTTACCGGGCCACCCCATTTAACCTATCCCATGAATAATAATAAAAGATTGAACATGGGATTTCTAGTGACCGCCTCATAAAATTCCTTTTTTAGAGATGTTATTGCAATATCCACTTCTCCCTAGTCTTTTTCTCCTTCCTTCCTCTGACCCATACCTCATCTCTCCTCTGTTTCCCCACCTCCATGCTCCATCTCCAATCCAGCACTCAAGAAGTGAGCAACCCGATACACTGGTATTATCTCAGTCCTTAATCCAATTTTCTTTTCCCTTATTTGTTTTCAAATGTTCTTTCTACTCATTCTAATGGAGATTTCATTCTTCTGTTTCCTTCATGCTTGCAGATCGATATCTAATCTAATTCGGATTTAGCTGAAGTCGGAGAGGCTGCTTATTGATAATCACCATCGACGAAAAAGTATCCCAAGTGTTTGACTCTCGCCGTAATGGTATTTCTTATCTTGTCGTATTAGATTTGACCTCCCACCCTCTCTGCATCCAGTGTTTCCGATTCATTTTCATGCTAAAATGTTAATCTTTTATGGTTCCGATTCAGGTGAGCCCAATAGGTAACTTTGAGAAGAACGATATGGTGCCTTCGTGGTTGAAACCAATGCTTAGAGCAGACTACTTCGTTCCCTGTTCAATCCATGGCGATTCGAACAAGAGCGAGTGCAACATGTTCTGTTTGGATTGTATGGGAAACGCCCTCTGTTCTTACTGTCTGATTCATCACCGAGATCACCGTGTCGTGCAGGTTTGGCTTAGACCTAGCTCAAGCAATTATTAGTGTTTTTTTTTTTTTAATCAGAAGGGTTTGAACCTGGACCTATTTTGTTTCTCTGTATGTTTTGAATCACTGAAAATTAATGATGATTGTTGGAATAACCGACCTATGCGTGTAGATAAGGAGGTCCTCCTACCATAACGTGGTGAGGGTGAACGAGATTCAGAAGTACATAGACATTTCGTGTGTCCAAACTTACATTATCAACAGCGCCAAGATCGTATTTCTCAATGAGAGGCCACAGCCAAGGCCTGGAAAGGGGGTCACTAATACTTGCGAGATTTGTGGAAGAAGCCTCCTCGACTCTTTCAGATTTTGTTCCTTGGGTTGTAAGGTGATTCTTCTTTTAATCCCAATTGTTTCCTTGCTTGCTAAAATCAGATGAAATATGTGTGTGTGATTCTTGGTGTGGCAGCTCGGAGCAATGAAGCAGGGTCGCTCAGAACTCACATTTGCGCTGAGGGACAAGAACAGGGACATATTGGAGTCGGATGAATCTTCAACTCCTAAGAAGATTCGAAGAAATCATGTTTTCAGCCGCTTGATCACGGATGATCCAACCATTTTTTACAACCATGGCAAGGACAGGTACTCAGCTTCTGAAGAAGACGAAGGCAATGGTAGCATCTCTCCGGCCACACCTCCTATTTATAACCACCGTAATGCCAGGAGAAGAAAAGGCATACCCCACAGGGCCCCATTCTAAATAAAACCAAACAGAAACTAGAAGATGATGATGACGACGGCGATGATGAATGTGGATAGGTATAGTGTTCTGTTTCATATGCTGTTAGATAGGTTAGTGCCCAGAAGAATCATCATCAATAATCAATAATCAATAATCTGTGTTGTCTTAAAGAAATAGGAATGGGATAATACAGATTCAGGGAAAATAGATAAGATTACAGCAGTGTCCTAGTTTCTTGTATATATGCTAGAAACATGGTTTTGTTAAATCCGATCATTGTACAGGGGACAGCATACTTAGTTCTCAAAATTAGCAATGTGGGAAGAAGTAGCATTTCTGTTGTAAAATTACAGGTTAATTAATGAACATATATTGTTTGTGTACTTAAGGTGTTTGAAACTGAAGTGCCTTTTTATCAGAACAGTAATGGGTTTTTGCTTGAGCTAATCGGGCATATAGTCTTGCTCTTCCTTTTTGAACGTCGTGCGGGAAGCATCAACCATACCGAGAATCTTTCCGTTCCACGAAAAGGGATCGGATTCACTTTTTACATGTTTGTTTAAAACGTCTAGATTCTGATCAGTGTTCCCCAAAAAATATTCGGGAGACTATCCATCCTCCGTCGAGATATCTTATATCCCCAGCATAATTCCGCAAAAAATTAATAAAAATAAAAATAGAAGCCTCATGAGATATTCAATTTAGATTTTTTTTTTTGAACTTTTGGGTATGGGTTGTTATGTGATAACTGAGAATTTTAAAAAAAAAAAATCAAAGGGATGTTTAGGAAGTGGAAGGAAAAAATAAATGGATGACGGAGGAAAGAGGGGGTGGTGGGGATGAGCCCAGATAAGAACACACGTCAACGCAATGGAAAGGGTAGACGACAAAGGAGAGGTTGTTGTCGTAATAATCGTTTTCATCTTTTTGTGTGTATGAAAAAGTTTGTTAATTGCTTATAAATACGCATAATAATATTTAAATAAACAAGTGGATTATGATCGATAAGAGCCGTAAAGAATCTGAAACATGCTGTGTGTGACTCCACTCTCTATCTCTTCGATCGGTCTATCTTAGCCCTGCTTTATCACCCCACTTAGCCATATCGTAGCCTAGAGGGTTTTCTCTCTGTTTTTCCTTTCAAAATAAAAAAATTTAGTTAAACTTGACAAGCTCTTCAAAACTGAGACGGATCATAAGATTTAAATAGCATTTTATAGATTCCGGTAAAAAAAAAATTAATGGCACTTATAAAAATACTTACGGATAAGTTATTGATGAGATATTTCATGTTGAGAATATTTGAACCAGCATCTTTATCAAGTTAAAATGTGGATTATATTCTTATTAATTGCATATCATTATTTGGTTGACGTGAGAGATTTTATTTGCGTGCAAGTTTGATTTGATCACTGTCCACTATTCCATACTGTTTATTCTTGACCCAACGTCCCTTCTCTCTCATTTGTGTTGTCATGTCTTCTTCGCTTTCTTTTCATCCTCCTCGACCAGGTATATATTGACAGTCTTTTATATTGTGTGTGTGAAAATTAAACTTAATAATCATTCCATTGAATAATACATGCGACATTTATTTATTATCACATTAACAATTTATTCCAATGCCATATCATTTATGCTAGATCAATGAAAATAATCTAAATATAACCAAGAAGGACGTCAAAAATAATTATTATATATTATCATAAAATAAATGAGTGGGTAGAAAAGCAGAGAACTTACCGGGAATGGATTCAAGTCGGGTTCATATGCTCTCAGGTTACCAGTACACGAAAGACAAGGTTTTTTTTACCAATATACGATAAACAGTAAAATTATCCACTAAAATGCTGCACTTTTAAAACTATTTATCAATATACTGCACTTAAAATCGTTCTTAGTAAGAACGATTTTAAAATTACACACAAGTCGTTATTGGCGTGAACGATTCCTGAAATCGTTCATGCCAAGAACGATTTTACTTTTTCCTATTACTCTCTTACATACAAGTCTCTGCCAATTTTACATGTAAAAATAAGAATCCTTGACAATGCTCCCATGAGGCTACAACATCTATATTGCATTAAAATTTGAAAATCTCAATTTTTTTAATTTTTTAAATAGAGTTTGATGAAATTTTTTGTCATTTCCTCTTCTTTTTATTTTTCTCATACCAAATAATACGTAACAAAAAAAATTATGCTTTGATTGTAAAATTTTAATTGTAGCAATTAAGTTGTAGAACTATATTATTATTATTATTATTTCGGTCATAGGCACAAAAGGTCCATGCCCAATACTTGATTTCTCTTCAAATCGAACAAATGCCACACGACAGGCTTTTTTTACCAAAATACTACAAAAAGTAAAATTATATACTAATATGCTGTACTTTTAAAAGTATTTACTAATATACTACACTTAAAATCGTTCTTCAGATAAATAATTTTTAAAGTCATTTATCTGCTGAACGATTTCTTCATAATCTATCCTTGATGTGCATGAAAGCTTGTGTGGCATTTATCTGCACTTAAAATCGTTCTTGGTAAGAATGACTTTCAAATTACACACAAGTCGTTCTTGGCGTGAACGATTTTAGAAATCGTTCTTGAGTAAACATTTGTTAAATGAAGAAGTTGTTCAGCAGATAAATAACTTTAAAAATTATTCACCTGAAGAATGATTTTAAGTGTAACATATTAATAAATACTTTTAAAAATGCAGCATATTAGCATATAATTTTACTCTTTGTAATATTTTGGTAAAAAAGCCAATTGTGTGGCATTTGTTCGATTTGACGAGAAATCAAGTATTGGGCATGGACCTTTTATGTCTGTGACCAAAATAATAATAATAATAATTTAGTCTTACAACTTAATTGCTACAATTAAAAATTTACAATCAAAGCATAATTTTTTTTGTTACGTATTATTTGGTATAAGAAAAATAAAAAGAAGAGGAAATGACAGAAAATTTCATCAAGCTCTATTTAAAAAATTTAAAAAATTGGAATTTTCAAATTTTAATCCAGATGTTGTAGCCTCATGGGAGCATTGTCAAGGATTCTTATTTTTGCATGTAAAATTGACAGAGATTCGTATGTGAGAGAGTGAACAGGAAAAAGTAAAATCGTTCTTGGCGTGAATGATTTCAGAAATCGTTCACGCAAAGAACGACTTGTGTGTAATTTTAAAATCGTTATTGCTAAGAATGATTTTAAGTGTAGTATATTAGTAAATAGTTTCAAAAATACAGTATTTTAATATATAGTTTTACTGTTTATCGTATATGGGTAAAAAAGTGAAAGGCAAGAGATGTAATTAGTGGGCGTATATATTTTGGCAAGGCAAAATATTCATATCTTATTCTTTTAACCCCTCATTTACCTCAATTAATGAGATAGAATATGTGATTTTAATTTATATAAGAAATTAAATCAGATAAATGTATGGTCTTGTCGAATATCCAAGACAGATGTACGCTTATAATCTAGGTTTATAAATAATCTGAGCCTTAAGAAATCCTCTGATTGGAGGGTGCAAAGGCAAAAGCAAGGTAGAGGAGGGAGAGAGAGAGAGAGACAAGGATGGAATAAATTTTGTTGGGCGGCGTTTTTTGTAAGTAAGTACAAAGAGGAGGCCAGAGCCTAGAAAGACCGTTTGGACTTTGGAGGAAGGACGGCGGAGTGTGGACACGTGCTCCCTTCGGTGTCCCAGCCTCCCAGGCGCGGGAGCATCCGTTAGTCCGTAGCTTCACCCGCTCTCATCATCAAAACGATTACTATTACTACTACTTTAGAGTATTTATCAGGAAAAAATTAGAACGAGGAATGTAAATGAAATAATTTTCTTAAAAAATGATCATATTCTCTGATAATTTCAACACTATATATATACACTTTTATTTTTAGATTGAAATTTAGATTTGGTCTTTTAATTTTGATATTAAATACTAAAACATTCTCAAATACTAACATATTAAATTTATTTTTTAAAATAATCATAATTGTTATAAAAAAATATCATTTTAAATTAGTAATTTTAGGATTAAAGAACTACGAACATACTCTTGGAAGCTATGAGACCAAATTATAATTTCATGTAAAATTAAAATACTAAAATTATACTCTAGTCCTTATTTTTAAGATAAAAAGCTTCATTTTGGCTCTCGGGACGTGATGAAGTTAACCTTGGGAACAGTATCCATTACGTGGGTGAGGGCCTTTTAATATGCCGATCGTAAATATTAATGAATGCAAATACATTATCAACTTATAGAGTAATAATTAATTCGTCATACTGATGTATATTAGTACTTTAATTTAATTAGGCCTGACTTTGCATGCTATAAAATTTGATTAGTTTTTCGGCTTATTTTTATTTATTCAAACAGATAAATTCGTATTTTCATTTTTCTGCGGCTCTATGCATAGCTGCCCCCTCATTTGCCACGCGCAGGCAGCACACTCCCCTGCCCCCGTCCACGCCCCATCTAGAAACTCAATGCACGTGACCCTTCAATGACCAATCCTCATTATTATAAATACTGCCCCTGACCACGAAATAATGATTTATCATTATTCTCTTAATTTATTTTCTTGCTACTCCCTCCGTTCCTTATTATAAGAGACATTTGATGCTTATAACATGTTCCTATATATAAGAGACACTTACAAGTTGTCTTTATTTTTTTGTGTTGATTTACTATTTTACCCATATTTATTATCTCCAACTCACACTCTCTCTCCCTCTCACTTCTCTTTCTTTGAATAATTTAATTGTTCTCTCTCATGCTCTCTCTCCTTATTAATGAGGGCATTTTTGAAAAAAAATTATACTTTTACACATTAATTGTTCTTAACTAATTTTAACTGTTTTTTTGATCAACGTATTTCGGTTATTTGTCTCTTATAATAAGGAACGGAGGGAGTAACATTTAAAATTCTAAACTACATAGTGCTTACAATTTCACAACGAGAAAAAATCTATTGCGAAATACTGATCCGACCCTAAATATAAGACCCTTATATATACTAATATAAAGATATTTTATTTAGGACTAGAAGAGTTTTATTTTCCCCAAGTTTTAATATAGGATAACAACTTTAGCTAAGAATAGAGCCGGGAAAACGGGCCGAGCCCGTCGGGCCGAGCCCGTTTAAGCCCGTTTAAGTCGAGGGCCGGGCTTGTATTTTGAAGTTTTGAAAGGGAAGTCGGGTTTAAAAGGGCCAGCCCTGTAGGGCCGAAAAATAAACGGGCTGGCCCTGTAGGGCCGCGGGCCAGCCCGTTTAGGCCCGCCAATTTTTTTTTTAATTTTTATATTTTTTTCTTAACTTAAAAAAAGAAACCCTAACATTTTAGACATAGCATAATCTTAATTTTACTTATTCCAACCGTTCACATAGATAGCATTCACAA